GGAAGTGACGAGTTAGAAAGCTAGCCATTTCGAGATTGAGCATAGATTTAGAAATAAATCATGATCTTGTAATCTAGAGTGTATTTGGAGACTTTATTGGAGCTTTATGATATCAGAGAGAAATTTATAATTTGATCTTCAGATTTTGGTGGTAACAGAGTACAGTGTGATAAGTTTCGAGCCTTATGCACTTGTGGGACCCGTCTCACGAGTGTACGGCGTCTGTCGCGTCTTGAAATTGGGTTTTGGGGCGTGACAATAACCATAACAATAACCACAACCACAAATTATGTCAATCACACACCATTGTCTTAAATACCTATGATATTCGGCTTAATTCAAAAAATCATCTACTAACTTTCAGTTTAATTTCAATTTCATCTATTATCTTTGAATTGTTTCAATTCTGTCTATTATTTTTCATATTTATTTCAATTTCATCTAGGCAATTAAAGTTAACAGAAATCTTAACAAAAATCTTCTTAAACCTTAGTACTCTAACTATGTTTCTTTTAATCTTTTAGTCTTTAAATTTATATTCACAATAAAAATAGTTTTTATTCTTATTTTGCTAAATGTGTTTTTCAGAAAATTGTTTTACAAAGCAAATTGCTTTCAGTCCACCTTGTAAAATTATTTAAATACCCTTAATTCTATTTTTATATTATTTTTGTATGAACATTTAAATAATTTTATAAAACAGATTGTATACAGTCTGTCCTATAAAACAGACTTACTCTTAAAATTTCTTATTTTGAATTTATTGAATTTCTTTGTCTGAATTACAATCTATCTCTATAAACTATTTTTTGATTCATCATATTTTATTAGGATTTAAGTGTCACTTTTTTAAAACTCAAAAGACTGCTCTTTCTTCAAATCTAACGGCAACCTAACGTCCTTTTTGTACGGTAGACTAATTTGAAATATTTTTCAAAGTTTCTAGATCATTTAGAAATGAAACAAACTTTCTAGACTAAACTGAAATTAAACTAAAAGTTAGTAGATGATTTTTTGAATTAAGCCTATGATATTCAGTTAATAATAATTAACCTCCAAAGCAATCCGAAACTTCATACCTTTTGAAGTATGATCACTGGAGGTCAAGCAAAATAGGAAAAAGATATCGTAATGAACAGCTAAAGCTAGCAGTTTAAAGTACTAACAGAAATAAAGCCAACCATGCAAAGTGTGCAGATAAAATGTGCATAGCAGAAAAAAAAGAAAAAGAAAAAACTAAGGACCCAAATAGTCTGGATCAAAAATAGGATGGTATGCATTATCTTGAGGGGAAAACTGCTGTTGCTGCTACTATTGCTGTTGATATTCAAGGACCGTAGGAGAGGTTTGTGTAGAATCAATTGAGTAGGTGAAAGTTGAATTCATGCGAAGACCTAAGCCATGACCATGTGACGACTGTGGTAGGGCAACTACATGATGACCTGCTTGAGAGGAGATGCCATAAGTGGCTAGAGCTATAGCAACAAACTGTGTAATTGTCTGGCTTATATTATTTTGAGCTTGCATCATTTGGGCTAGTTGCTATTGCATTAGAGCGATTTGTTGGTGTTGTATTTCTAACTCCTTATGTTGTTTTTCTTGTGCCTCGTTATAGTCAGACATCATCATTGCTGCTATTAAGTTTTCTCAAGATTGTCTCTTCTTGTAAGCAAATCCAACCATCTTTGGATTTACTTGGGAGCCAATCCCTAACATGAAATTAGATGAGCAACCTCCAACACCCTTAACCCATGCCTCATTATCCATGTGTGGCCATGGACTAGCATCAGAGCCATGGCTCTCTATGCACTCCGCAACATAAGTATCCTAAAAAAAAAATAGTAATACTAATAATGTTGTCAAAAGCAGTTTGAAAAGAGTCTATAAAAAAACAAACTTTGCTAAATAATTTAGATTAATTACATAAATGTTTTTAACACTTATAACTATACATTTTATGCTAATTTATATGTTATATATACTTACATATCGATGCTTTGCTTTTTCATTAATCCATGCTAGCTCTTGATCCGTTCCTGCCTTTTTTCTGAAGATGTGTGTCTCCTTGAACTTCTCTTGATGGAGAGGTTGCACATCACCTCTAGATTTAGTTTGTATTTCAAAATATTGATAATGCAATATATTGGTTAGTATAAATTGACACAATTTATTATTAAATAAAATTTAATATATTTAATTTTTTATTAATTAAGCTCGATTACCATCCACATCTCATGGATGCCAAACCTAATGGACCCAATGGTGTGAGTCACCCTCTTCCCAGAACTCCTATTCTTTGCTCCCTTTGCACTGAGAATCTTATATTCATCAGAGTCCTAAAATGTCAGTAGCGGAGACCATGTATGGGTTAGGATCCAACATGGGACATAGGTTGAGTCCTTTTCCCATTTCAACTTCTCATCCCCAAGATTGTCACTCCATCTATGTTTCATACAATTTAGGAACACATGTCGTACATGGTGATTATCTACCAGATCCCATTCGTAAATTGTCTACAAAATAAGAAATGGATAGCATTAGATGTGTGAGAAATGTAAATTCTAGTTTAGTAATGAAATTAGTTATTTTTATTAGAAATTGTTAAATCCATTCATTTTATTAAATTTGCTAAAACTTAATCTTACCTTGAAACAATTATAAATTTCAATAACCTTACTATCGGGGAGATGCTCATATGTGAAATACGGGCCATCAAAAGGTGACTTATATAAGGTAGTGATAGTCCGAGGAATGTTTGGATCAACAAACTAGAGCTTATCATCAGTAAGTCTAACCTATTTCCTGCTCTTTTTATTCTCTGGAGGGTGTATTCCTTTTAAACTCTTGCCCTGTCTTTTTTTCCCCATCGAGGATGAAGGGCCCTCATTATCATGATCGCGTGTAAAATTAGAATCCACTAATGGATCAATTAGTTGATTAAGACTATGTTGCCCTTGTGATCTTGAGGAGGAAGATCTCCGCCTTGCTAAACTTGTAGGATTTCCAAATATCCTGAAAAATGAATAAAAAAATAGTTATTAATACATTTATATAAATAATGAGTAACAAATTTAGAACAATCATACAATAATTCTATTTTCAATGAAAAATATATAACTTGATAAAACAATATATATAAGACAAAGAAATTTTAATACATATATTTAATGAGTAATAATACAAATGTTTCAATTAATCATCATTATCATCATCATTCTCAATATTATCACTATTTCTCGAGAATTCTGAATCTTTTTTTTCTCCATAGTCCTCCTCTTCTTCAGATGTATTAGCATCAACCTCAACTTTTGTAACACCTTATGCACATAGTTGAAGTGATTGGTATATAGTTAAATCTATAGCTAATGAAGAACCTTACATTATGAGGGGATCATCATCTTGAAAAATATCATCAATCTCTTCTAAAGATGAGTTAGATAAGGTGTCAATTAGATGTCTAGATTTGATTTTAGATGCTGCCAGCCATCCTCGGGTAGTTCTATCCGTGGCTGCCAGATATGGAGTATGATAAACTTGTTGTGCTTGACTAGTAAGGCAAAATGGATTCCCCATTGAAAGCTTAAACCTTGGATTGACATCAACAATTCTGTGTTCAGCATTGACATGTATTCCTTGGTCCGTGTCATACCAATCACAATTAAACAATATTATAGTCTCTTGTTAACCTGAGTGTCCATAATACAATAACTCAATCACCTCTTTTAAGACACTATAATAATAAATTCTATCTACAGAATTAATGTTGGTTCCTTTAACACAAACACTACAGTTTTATGTCTTTCTATTACTAGTAGGCTCTTCAATCAAAAATCTGAAGCCGTTCACATAGAACCCATCATAAACATTCACTTCAAAGATCGAGCCAACTGTAAGGCGGATAAGTTGTTCATTGATTTCATATTGTCCACTAAACACCTATACTTGAAAAAAATTTTAATTTAGTAATATTTAATATTTAATTAAAAATTTGAGAAAATAATATATAACAATTTATTACCATATTTTTAAACCATTAAACAAAATTATTTGTTTGCAATCTTTGTAGTTGTTTCTATGGCAAATTTGCACCAACTTCTTTCTCGAATTTATTATAAAATAACATTTATTTGCTAATTAAAATGTTGTGAAAATCATATAGGCTATTATTTTCCTAAAAAGAAGTAAAACTTACATTACCCAAACATCAACCTCCTTGCAATTTAGCAAGACATAGTTCAGCTGCATCTTTCTCCTCCAATGTTAAACACCATGTACGTGATTGGGCACCTATTGATTCACCAGGGGAAAAAATACGGATAACTTACTTGGGACGTTGGTTCTCATGCCACCATAGTTCCTTAGAGGCTAATTCCAGCTTGTCTCAACATCGTCCCCAAAATAATGAGAGCAAAAATGGGATATCTCGTATAATATAAATGTCTCAACAATTAATGCCTCGACATGATTTTTATTCATTATGGTACTATTAAGTTTGCACATGCGACTGAAAGGAGATACCAATAAGATTAATTAAAAAAAAAAAAGTAATCAAAAGTAAGTTTTAATATTATCAATTTTTTTGTATGTTTTACCTTTCAAATAGATACGTGCAACGAAATGGAACAGGACCACCAACTTTGGCTTCATATGGAAGATGAATTGCTAGATCTCCATAGAATCAAAGAATGGTGGGGGGAATATTATTTTTAACTTACAAACTATTTCAACAATCTTTGCCTCCCACTTATGCATCTCAGTAACACTAATGACTGGGGAACAAAGTGAACGAAATGATTTACTAATGTTGGTCAAAGGACCCCAAATAACAGATGGCAATAGATCATGAAAAGCAACTGGAATTAGTCATTACATGAAAACATGACAATTATGACTTTTCATCTCGAATAACCTAGACTCATTCAAGTTGATACATCTTGATATGTTGGAAGTAAACCCATCTGGAAAGCGCAATTGTTTTAGCCATGCACATAAAAACCTTTGTTTTTTGGATGTCAATGCATAACTAGCATTAGGTTTCACAAGCTTAACGTGCGTATTATATCCCATGTGCAATGTTCTTCGATCCAATAAATGGTTAAATCCAATCTTGCTTTTCCATTGTCTTTTGTCTTATTGTCATTCATAATAGTGTGTAGTATATTATCTAAGAAATTTTTCTCATAGTGCATTACATCTAGATTATGTCGAATAAGATTATCATCCCAATAAGGAAGTTCTCAAAAAATGCACCTTTTCACTCAATTATGGATGTTCCCAACACCCTCAATTGTTTGGTTTTTAAAGGGTTTCCCAAACAACACATCAGGAAGGTTTTCAACTTGGTGACGCATTGAAACACCATCCAATCGAGAAGGGGGACTACCTAATTCAACCCGACCCTTCAAGAAATTACTCTAATCAAATCTAAAAGGATGTGATTCGGGTAAAAACTAACGATGACAATAAAAAAAACATGGTTTTCGCCCATTTTGAAGATAAAAAGATCGTGTCATCTCCATACAGTAAGGACATGACAGTTGACTATAAGTGCTCCAACTAGACACCATACCATAACCCGGAAAATCAGTTATGGTCCATATCAACATAACTCGCATTATGAAGTTTTTCTTATGATAACTATCATATGTTTCTACACCATTTGATTATAACATTTTTAAGTCTTCAATTAAAGGTTGAAGGAAAATATCGATATTTCTACCGGGGCTTTTTGGACCTACAATGACCAATGTAAGTAAACTCGGGTCGTATGCACGTCTCTGGCGGCAAATTATAAACAATTAAAAAACTGGCCAACAAGAATAAGAGGTTGAAGAATGAGCCCATGGGTTGAAACCATTAGTAGCAAGACCTAATAGAAAATTACGAGATTTTCTTTTAAAAGAAGAATGCATTTGATCAAAATGTCTCCATACTTTGGATTGTGCTGGATGAATAACCTCATCTGTATCACTACCACATTTCAAATGCCATGTCATGTGCTCAGTTATTTTTCGTGACTTGTATAGCCTCTGAAGGCGAGGTATTATTGGCAAGTACCAAAGAGAATTCCTTGGATTGTCCTTTTGTCTTTTCCTCCCTGGATTTCTCTGTTTATACCTCACTTCTCCACAAATTGGACATGTAGTCAATGTTTTCGTAAGCTCCCTATAATATAAAAAGCAGTTATTAACACAAGCATCAATTTTTACATAATCTAACCCAAGCCCTTTCATATATTGTTTTACTTGATAAAAGTTTGTAGGAATTTTCTCCTGATCTTTAGCACTTAATAACCTCCTACATCCTTTGAGAATGGCATTAAAGCCATTAGCAATTATATTATTTGCAGTTTTTGTATGCAACATATAAGAGAGCTAGCTGAGCATTGTCTCATTTCTTTTAGAACTACTAAGTGGAATTGTAGTGCATGAAGCAAGTCATAAAATGCCTTTACTTGATTGTTTGGTTCCTCATCCAGATGTTGATTGGGGAAATTACCTTCTATTTCCCAATTATCATCATCCTCTGGACAAAATGCATCATACACCATTTTATGAAAGTCATTTCTTTCATCATGGTGTGTATCTTGGTTGTGTGATGATTCTCCTAGATTAGTAATAGACCATGGATCTGCTGAATTCACAAATGTCTTAACCATGCGCCCACCAAATAGAATGAGCATTCATAAAACCATACTTAATAAGATGGTTCCATACCATTTCCCGAGTCATCAATGATAAATTAAAGCATTTAGTACAATGACATTTGATTAAATCATTTGGTTGAAGACCAAGGCTATTGTATGCAAATTGAAGGAAATATTCAACTCCATTATGGAACTTATTATATATCTCTTCTCATGGAGCTTGATGCCTATACATTCAACTACGATCCTTTATAATCTTATTAAATCAATAAAATAAAAATAATAATATGATTAGTTTCAAAATAATTATAATATCTTTCACATATTTTATAGTTGGTTAAAACCCTAATTTATCATACATATATATATGTAAATATATTAAATTTATTCATCAACAAAATTTATCATACACAAATTATTGATTTTTTATTTAATAAAAAATCAATATTTAACTATACAATTATAAAAATAAAATGAAAATGAAAATTACTGTGTAATTAATGAGGATCCACAAGAGCTCAAGTATTAACCTGCAAAATAATTATTAAAATATTAATTTTTATATATTTTGAATAAAAATTTCTTTATATATATTATTAAATTATAAAAATTACATTTAAAATTAACATAATACAACTTAAAATAGATACAACAACAAAATAAGATCAATTATTAAATTGCTAAAAATAAGGCTGAAATACCAAATTTAGTCCCTAATATTTTAGATTTATACCAAAATTATCTTTAAACTTTAAAAATATTGAAACTATCCCTAAACTTTAATATTTAATACCAAAATAGTCCTTATCTTAACAAAAAGTGTTACTTGATTCATTATTTTGCCATAAAATCAGTTTCTTTTTCAAAAATTAATAACATAAAATCAAACAATTCTATTTTACTAGCATGATATATTTTTCTAATTGTATTTATAAAGTTGAATAATTAAATTGGTACTTATAATTAAAGTTTCAAGGTCTAAGTCTTCAAATTTTAAGGACTAAATTGGTACTAAATAAAAGTTTAGGGATTATTTTGATTCCAAAAATTAAAGTTTAAGGACATTTTTAGTACTTTCAAAGTCTTAGCATAATTTTGACCTAAATCAGAGAGTTGAGGGACTAACATGGTTATTTAACCAAAAAATTTAGGTCCTTCAACTTTAAAGTTTATGTAATTTTCATCTCTTAACTTTTTATATATTTTTTTAATCTTCAATTATGTTGAAAACTGCGTAAAACTTTCAAAACGCACAAAAATCATATTGAACCTAAAATATACTCAAAACAACAAATCAATTTGAAAATGCTAGCTGATATCAAATACTTAAAATAAAAATTGTCATTAATGGTTGAAATTTCACTAAAAATTTATTAAAACATTATTCATAACTATTCATCAAATTTATTAAAAAAAAAATCTAACAATAGTAACTAATATCCAATGAACTAATTAATGACAATAATTGATGGTTTAAATTTCAAAAAAAATAAAACATGCATAAAATATATAAAAAATAATAATATTACTTAAGTTTCACTTACCACTGCTTGATCCACTGCACTATAAGAAGAAAAATGTTAAAGTGATTTGAAGGAATGAAGGAGGAAAGGAGAGCAAGAACAACTTGAGAACAAAAGAGGAAAACGAAAATGAAAGGAGGAAGACCAAAATGAAAGGGGAAGGGTGAATCGACAAGCAATAGGGACCCTTGCCGACGAGATCCACATTGTTACCGTTTAAAGTTGATCATCTCTGCATTGCTTCAGAATTCTCATTGATTGGGACAATCACCGACAAACCTCTGCTTGGAAGATATATGTTACCGACGGAACTCTTGGGTTAAAAAGCTGCAATTCTAGTCGTAGGCAGCCGAACTCATGGGGTTGGGTTGGGGAATGGGAAATTACCAACAAGAAGAACGTTGGTAACCTTACTGAGAAAATTCACATTGCCAATAATGAAGTTACAGGCCTCCCTTTCATTGGTAATTTGGGTTTTGGTCCACCGTCGCCGGATTGAATATTGGTTGATATTATCAACAAGGAACGTGTATGTATTGCATTAGTTTACCAACAAATATTTTGTCTGAACCTGAAATAATATATATTACTACTATTTTTACTGTTTCTGGATTTCCAAACATGTTTCTTGTTGGTAAAATCTTGCTTCACAGAGAAAGATTCTTACATCAGTGATTTTTGGTCCGTGAAGTTAGGTCTCCTAGTAGTGTAGACAATGGCCAAGCAGTTTTTTGGCCCATAACATATAATTTTGAGATCGTAACCAATTTGGAAAATCTTGTGAAGAGAATGTGTGCACATATGAGTAATTTCATTGAAACATTTTAGATAGTTAACGGTTTGGTTATAAAAGAAGTACGTAAACCAGCATTGGTTTGGATGATTGAATAGGGAACTGATTATGCCATAGTATCCAAACCGTTAATAGTTCAAAAAAGTCATCTGTGCAGAGAATCTTTACACAAGCGAGATGTTTGTTGGTTAACGAGACTTTGCTCTGATGTTTCATATTGTTAATGGTCTATATATATCAAAATGTGACATTGGCCTGCTAATTACAAGTGCAAGTTGATTTTAGCCTTATTGTCTAGTACGTTAAGTCTATGTAGAGAAGCTTTGAATAGATGGGATGTTTAGCAATGCATATCAAGTATTTTTGGATTGGCTTCGATCTAAATAAGTATGCATAGAAAATTTTGTAGACACTTCTTCTTCTACCTCCCCTATGAGTCCACTTTCTTCCTCCTATTTTCTTTGGTTTTTCTCTCTTTTTCGGCCTTTCTTCACCAGGCTTATTTCTCTTCAACCATTGGCCATCTATTATAGTAAGTGATATTTTCCAACTACTCATACACCAGATCAGAGCTTCTTTTTTTTTTCTTTTTTTAATTTCAACTTTCTAACAGCATATTTCCCTAGATCTAACTCCTCAAGCACCAAAATCTACATTCAATGCTTTTTCTACCAACAAACAAACCACATCTACAACAAAAGTGAGTTTTTGATCTATTTCCTTTTTTGATTTTTGTTCAATATTTGAAAAAATAAATAGTTTAGGAAAAAAATATATATCAGTCCCAATTCCCAAAAAATTTAAGAGCCCTACCTTAAATTACGTCATTTTATTTTATTAAATCTCAATTTGAAATTTAAAAATCTATTTTATTAAATATTGATATTTAAATTTAAAAACTAATTGGATTATTGAGTTTTAAATTAAGATTTCAATTTCTAAATATAAGTTGAGACTCTAAATTTTTCTAGGAGTCAGGAGTGTAAGCACTAACCTCATAGTTTAATATATATATCTGTTTATTTTTTTATTTGAAATCCTTGTGACTAATTCCATACTCTTAAGGAACAATAATTATTTATTTAAGTATATAGTATAATTTAAGAAATAAAACTCATGAAAAGGAATAATAATTATTTATTTGAGTGTTAACATTAAAACTAAAGTATCGTAAGAATTTGGTGTTTTATTCTATCTTAACCTCTAAAACCACTAGATCTATATCCAAAGGAAACTTCTTCTTAATATTTATTTGTTAATATGTACCAAAAATTTATTTATTAAAATTTATTTGTTAAAATACTAAATATGATAATTGTTTGTATAGAAACATTTCATTATGTAATTGTAATTATAGAGTTGAACCTTATAGTATAGGAAAAATGTTGAGAAATTTATATTGTATTTATATTTTAAATAATTAATTTAAAAAAAAATTAAAGTTATAAAATATATTTTGCATTATCTGCAATTGTTATTTGTTTGGTATATATTGTTTGTTTTGACTTGTAGAAATACATTAAAAATTACTTTGCATGTTAATTTCAATATATTGTTTATAAGTTAGTTTAATTAAGAATTGTTTTTTTAATTTTTGTAGTGGCATTTTGTGGCTCTTCTGTACATTGATACTATGGATCCATCATAGCCTTGTAGATGGCCATCACCATCTACTTTTGACCCACAACGACGGGTTTAGGAGGAGCAACCAGTTGATGTAGTCTCAGAGATTGCAATTGCTCCTAATAAGAGTCATACTTCTAATAGTGCCAATGACACTATACCAGTTGCTCCCCATAAGAAAAATTGGATGAGGAAAGGCAAAGCCACTAAAGATACTAGTAGATGGTAGCAAGATCCTGTTGGTGCTAGATAACACTGGAAATATCCCATAGAATATTTGGTGGGATATTGTTGTTTAATTAAAGGATATCAAATTGTTCATTCTTTATAGTTGAGTCCTTCTTCATTCAAACTGATAACGGTCTATTTATTATTTTGGTTAAATCCCCATTTTGGTCCATGAACTATTGTACGGACCCCCGATTTGGTCCCTAAACTAAAGAAATCCCTGATTTGGTCATTAAACTATTGTACGGACCCCCCAATTTGGTCCCCACTGTTTATAATTTGGCTTAAGTTGGTCCTTGAACTATTGTACGGACCCCTAATTTGGTCCTTACTGTTTACAATTTCGCCCCAATTTGGTCCCTGAGCTATTATTTAACAGAAGGACCAAGTTGGGGTTAAATTGGTAAACAGTAGGGACCAAATTGGGCATCCGTACAATATTTTAAGGACTAACTTGGGAGTCCGTACAATAGTTTAGGGACCAACTCAGGGGTCCGTACAATAGTTCAAGGACCAAATTAGGGATTTCTTTAGTTCAGGGACCAAATCGGGGTCCGTACAATAGTTCAGGGACCAAAATAGGGGTTTAACCTATTATTTTCAAAAATAGTTACCTCAAGCATAAGACTTTTCATTCTTTACAGTTGAGTCCATCTTTATTCAAATCAATAATGGTCCGCATAGTATTTTCAAAAATTGCCACGCCCCAAAACCCAAATTCGAGGACGTGGTAGACGCCGTGCACTCGTGAGACGGGTCCCACAAGTGCACAAGGCTCAGAACTTATTCAAATCACAAAATCTCAAGAATAAAATCTACCTTACAAAAGGATGATAAAATCTAAAACTTATACCCAATTAGAATGGCTAGCCTTCTACCTCGTCACTCCCTTTGATTTCCCCGTCCTCGGTTTCGTTTCCTAAAATGGTGGACAAGGAAAAACTATGAGATAACTCGGTAAGTAAATATGGATAGCCCTTGGGTAAAATTTTAGCATGCCTCATAAACAGTTTAACATAACAAAACGTTCAATGATAAACCGTTAATGCAGAATCAAATTCAGTTCAATAGCAAAGCGTTTAGTGACAAACCGTTTATGCATAATAAAACTCCTCAGTAGTCTCATCTATAAATCATGGCCAATGTTTAACAAGCTCCCACTGACAGGCGTCAGTAATGGTACCAGTGTTTAACAAACTCCCACCGACAGGCGTCAGTAATAACCAATGTTTAACCCTATTGATAGGGTTACAGAAGTACTAGTGTTTAACAAACTCCCACTGGTAAACGTCAGTAATGGTATCAGTGTTTAACAAACTCCCACTAGCAAGCATCAGTAATTGTATCAGTGTTTAACAAACTCTCACTAGCAGGTGTCAATAATGGTACCAGTGTTTAACAAACTCCCACTAGCAGGTGTCAATAATGGTACCATTGTTTAACAAACTCCCACTAGCAGGCGTCAGTAATTACCAATGTATTATCCCATTGGCAGGATTACAGAATGAACCGGTCACATCAGTAAACATGTGTAAACATGTGGACATGTGCCAGTGTTTACAAACTCCCACTTAAATTAAACAAAAACCCACTTAAAGCTACCAAAATTCATTCCACCTTCCAGCACAATTTCACCTAAATTTCTTCCATTTTCGGACAGCAAAAAGGGCAATTCAAAAGCAGAAAATCCAATCAACACAAGGCAGCAACTACATGGATAATTTGGACTTGGAGGAGCTGTTAACTTACCCAAAATTTTCCAGCTGCAGAACCGGACCTGGCGGGGGGAAGAGGCCAGCGGCAAATCTGCAGGGAAGACTCACGGTGCTACCAAAAATTGAAGAACAAAGAAATTAAGTAAACCCAACCTAAATCAAAGTTAAAGAGAGGGATTCATGGCTGAATCTTACCAGAAAAATGCCCAGAAATTCGTACATAGCAGCACCGACGGATAAGGGAGGAAGAGCAGAGCAGATCTGGAATTTCTGGGTTGAGAGATAGAGTTCTAAGTCCTAAAGCTTGTTCTTGAACAAGAAGGAAAGGAGAAATTTCAAGCTTTTTGCCAATTTTTCAAAGGGGGACGTCGGTGGCTGCTTGGGTCCTTCTTTCGGGCTGCACGGGACGGGAAGAAGAAGAGCAAAACACACACATGTGGCTGGGAGAAAGAAAAGAAAGAAAAAAAAAAAAGAAAAAAGAAAAAGCAGCTGATCCCTATCTCATTTCTTTTCTTTTAAGTCCCTCAACTTTTGAAATTTGACTATTAAGCTTCAAAATAATATTTTTCCTCAAATAAGTCCCTTACTTAATGCTAAAATATCACCAAATTTTGGGATATTACAAAAATAGTCACCCTAGGCTTTAGACTTTTTAACTTTACAATTGAGTCCCAACATAGTCAAATTGTAATGAATTTCTATTACTTTAGATTGTTTTCAGTCTATATTATAGTATTTTTTAATCCCAGCTACATCCTTTTGTATGATTATCCCAACAATTATCAGTCTAGAAAAAACGTTTTCAAACCAAGTGTGATCTATTTTCACTTAATATTTTAATCTAAACATAGTTTTTTGGCATAACTTTTAGGCCAATATAGGTTTGGAAAAAAACATATATACAAACTGATATTTGGTCCGTTTGGATAGAAAATGTTTCAAACTAGTTTTTTTCAGTCGAACTTTCCAGATCAATGCAATTTGAATATATATTTAGACCATTTTCCACCTTTCTTACATTGATATATTGGTTTGAAATTAGCTCATTTTGGTTGTGAGAGTTTAGGTTTTCCTCTCCCTATCTAAATTTAATATAATGATAACTAATGGATTATTTCACTCCCTAATTTCATTAATTATAAAGCTAAGGTTTTTTTGAATAGGAGAAGGGATCTAATTCATTATAATAATTTTTTGGGCACCTCTTTCCTTTAATTTAAGACCTCATACCTATTTATATTACATCATATAACTTTGAGATAAAACATAGAACAACTTAGATCATAGAACTTTATTGGGCTTTATTAGTTTTCCATTTAACCCATTTTTATAGATAAAAAAAATAGTAGTAGCCTATACAAAAGTTTCTAAGATTCTCTCACTTAGGCAATGCTAATTGGTTTTAAAATTTTAAAAACATATTTTAAAAATGACTTTTGGATCAAACTTAACTTTAGTGGCCACCAATGTAAATCAAAATCTTAGCACAAAATTCCGTGTAATAAAAATATGATACTAGACTGTGTGGTTGTTTTATCTTTAGTCAACACAAGACTCCTCACAATCACAAATATTAAATACTTGGACCAACATTAATTCTAATAGGTGTGATCAAATGTAGTGTGGTTTGACACAATGTGATCCATGTAATATATATAACATGTCAAAACCACAATGGTCTTTTTTATGGTTTCAAAGAAACCCTTTATTAGGATACAATCCCTTTTTACACTTTCCCAAGGAAGCATTTTAAACTATATATAGGTTTCATAGAAACCTAGAAGATAATCTCTCTTACTTTTTTGTTGGCCCAAAAGACAGTAACCTAAGAAAGGGGGGAATTGGGTTCTTGAAAGGAAAATGATTGGTATACTCTTTAGTTCAACACACTTATTAACACCAATTGGTTCAACTATTAAATTCTATAACTTTAAACTTTCTCGTTTTTAATTCAAATTTGAAAATAATAATTTTTTAATAAGTATATTGTGGTGTGTGTTGAATTGAAAGGTGTTTGTATTAGTGTCTTTTTGTGCAACTTTTGGATTTAAAATGATGAACAAGCAAATGCATGCACACGCAAGTAAACTAAATTCTAGAGATTAAAAAAGTAGGGAAGAGAAAAATCAAATATAGTGATTTATAATGGTTTGGTCACAATTTGTGCTTAATCCACTCTTTAAGCCTCGTACTTGAGAATTAGGTTTGTATTTAAACATTCTCTTTCAACTTGTGATGTAGAGGCAACCATGCATAATATACAACCAAGTAATCATGTTCAATAAAAGTAAATACAAAAGAATTAGACAAAAAAGAATGGACCTTGCGTTAGAAAAGGGATTCAAGTCAAATTCCTTTATAAGTAATCCTTTTAAGAGTAAAGATATAGTTTATTACAAAATATCCACTAAAGAATATAGCATTTCTATCAAGAATACAATAGGAATAATAAATATATCTTTGCTTATCAAGGCAGAAATAGAAAGTTAATTATCAAAAATCAAAGAATTTGATAAAACAAAAATGGGATTTATCCATATAGGAGGAATTCAAATCCTTATTAAAGCTCATTTTAGGGAAGGTAAAGACACTCCAATAAAGCTAGTTTTAATAGATAATAGAATTAATGATAGAAAGGATGCTATCCTAGGATTAGTATAAGGTAACCTTAGTTATCGAAAACTCATGTTCACAGTATATCCAAAGTATGCTATAAATATTAATGATAGAAACATCAATAAGACACTAAGCCTAGCGCATGAATTTACTAGAGAAAATTTTATGAAAGATGGATCAATGCCATATAGTATTTACTATATGATAAGTTACGTATTGACCAATAGTCATCAGTCTAATCTTTTTAAAGACAAAGAATACATTGAATTATATCTTATGTTCCCTAAAATAGGACAAATTCAGAAACCAAGAATGATCACTAAAATATAACTACCCAAAGAATGGGAAGTGGATATTAGTGAAAAACCACTCATAATAGAAGAAAGAGAAAAACCTAGATTAATGACATATGAATTAGGAAGACTATTAGTCAGAATAGAGCCTGAACCTAGCCATAGAAATATTATAGACTTAGGAGCTTTAAACTACCCTAGGAAAAATAAAGAAGTCTTACCCAGGACAACCACTATAAAACATGAAGTGGTGTTAGATGCCATAAAGATCCCCTCTAGACATTTCAAAATAAAAGGAGATTATTATGATGTGAAAGAATGGCATAACATTTCTATCCTAATAGATACAGATGTGAGAGTAACACATATCCATAACGATATGATCCCACACTTACCACGATTTGAACTCATTAAGCCATACACATATTAAAACTTTAATAGTGCAGTGACCACAGTACATGAATATGCTAAAGTACCTCCTAAAATAAAGGATAAGAATAAGATATAACATGAAATCACTATAATAGCTCATGTTGAAACAAAAATGACTACAAGTATAGAATTGATGTTAGGAAATACGTTCTTAGCATTAGTACAACCTTATAGTATCCAAAAACATTGTCTGAAGATTATCATAAGTGGAAAAGAAGTAATTATACCTAGATACTATAAAAACTAATATCTATAGTGTATACATATCCATTGGAACCAAGTATGAAGAATACAAAACAAAATTCTTTCATGCTTTTATAGATACAGGATCCAAGATATGTTTGGCAAAAACCAATGTATTCCCAAAGTATTATTGGAAGAAAACCTCTCAAACAATGAAAGGTGTAGCCATAGATGGAAGTACTATTCAATATCAAATAATAATAGAAAGAGTTACTGTTGTAATTGGTGGAATTGAAGTTATAATTTCTTGAGTCTAAAAGTAATGAACATGGGAATGACATTTTATTAGGGAACAATTTCCTAAGCCAATTCAAGTAGTATGTTCAAACTTTATCATATGTAAAATTTTATACACCATGTGGACATTAGCTTCATGCCCTTAGAGTTTATAATTCTTATACTAGAGCAATACAGGCATTAATTTTCTGCAGCCAACAAGGTGAAGATAATAGAAAAACTCGTTTAAAAGAGATCAAAAAACCAGTGTCAGCATTATGGAATAATGAAAAAACACAAGAAAAAGTAATCCTAGAATCTATTTCAAAAGAATTAAGAAGCAACTATGGAGAAGACCCTACAAAACTATGTGAAGTTGATAAAACTTATGCCACTATTGAATTGATAGATCCAAAAACTATTATCAGAGTCAAACCAATGAGGTATAATCTTAAAGATAAAGAAGAATTCAAGAAGCAAATTCAAGAATTAATAGCCCAAAATATTATACAAGCCCCCAAGAGTCCTCATAGTAGCCTTACCTTTATGGTAAGAAATCATAGTGAAATAAAAAGAGGAAAATCTAGAATGGTCGTTAACTATAAACAACTAAATAGTAAAACTAAATTTGATGGTTGCTTTTTACCATATAAGGAAACTCTAATCAATAATATTAGAGGAAAGTGAATATATTCAAAATTTGATTACAAATCAGGACTTTGGCAAATTAAGTTAACTCTTGAAAGTATTCCATTAAGTGCTTTTAATGCTCCTACATGACATTATGAATGGCCAGTAATGCCTTTTGGATTAAAAAATGCATCTCAAATATTTCAAAGAAAAATGGATATTGTGTTTTCATCCATTAGAAGATTTTGCATAATATATGTAGATGATATACTAATCTTCTTTGATAATGAGGAAGAACATTTATATTATCTTAAGAAATTTCCATACTTATACAAGAAAAATGGAATATTACTTTCTGAAAAGAAAGCAAAGATAGGAAAAACCAAAATTGAATTTATTGGATTAACAGTAGATTCCACATGAATAGAATTACAGCTTCACATAAGTGAGAAGATTTCGATGTTCCCAAATAAATTAGAATCTAAAGAACAAATTCAAAGGTCTTTAGGAATATTAAATTATGCAGAGCAGTTTATTCAAAACCTAACTGAATTAAGACATCCTTTGCAAAAATTGCTCAAGAAAAAAGAAAGTCAACAATGGGAAATTTATCACACTAATCATGTGTAAAGAATTAAAGAATATTACGAAAACCTTCCTATGCTACAATTGCTTAAAGATGATGAAGAGTTAATTTTAGAATGTGATACCTCAAATTTTTATTGGAGAGCAACTTCGAAAAATTCTTAAGAAAAAGTTTGTAAATATGCTAGTGGTACATTTAAAAATATAAAAACTAGATATCATTCAAATCATAAAGAGTTATTGGCTATTTAAAATGGAATAAAAAAGTTCAGTTTTTTATGATTACCAAAACATTTTAGGGTCAAAACTAACAATACTCAAGTTAAGGGATTTATTTTTAATAAATCACCTTTAATACCAGAATATAAAGGATTGAATAGATGGCAAA